GGAGGGAGGGAGGGAGGGAAAGCCACCGGGCCAAGAGGGGGTTTAATGGGAAGGAGGGAGGGCCCTTCCGCGGGCGGCGGACCGCTGAGGGGAGGTGCGCACTGGCGCTTTGGCGCATTATCCCGGATGAATGTCGCTGCAGTCGGCGACATCTGACTGTGAGTTCGTGTGTGTGTGTGTGTGTGTGTGTTTTGTGTACGTTACTCTTCTTGGAAATTTGGGTTATGTGTAACACGGGGTTGAGCGTCGAGTATCCCTCCGAGCGCCCTTCGAACGCACCCGTACACCCGTACACCCGTACAGCTACCCTACGTCTCTTGTTTGCCCCGCGGAGAGAGCTGACGGGGTCCGCTGCCATGCAAGTGGGATATGAACTTATGTGTGTGGGGGGGGGGAGAAGAGCGCAAAAGCCCATTCCAAGCTTCCCGACCACTACAGCGCGGGATTTGTAAATATCAGAACCGGCATTGCAACCACCAACCAACACCTCTCAAATTGCCGTGCCCTGAGTTCCCTGCTCTGCCGGGGAGAAGAGGAGGGGCGCCGGGGAGGGGGAAACCCAGGGGAAAAACACACACGATACAAAACACGTAAGATAACACATCAACATGGCGTTTCATTCGTCACCCCAAGGCCACCTAAATGTTAATCAGTGAGAAGTCCTGCTAACCAACGCAGTTAGCAAGCACCTAGCTCTTGCGCCGTACGGAGCCGTTTCGCCGTACGATATGCGCCCATTCCACCGCTCTCTTGCGGTACGGAATCGCATTTGGGTACTATTGGCTTCGGTCAACACACACACACACACACACACACACACACACACACACAGAGAGAGAGAGAGAGAGAGAGAGAGAGAAAATGGGGGGCCTACGGGCCTCCAAGGAGACATACAGACAGACAAACAGAGACACACACACATACTTTCACATTCGCTCTGGAATATCCGGCAAGGCTCGTTTCTTTCTTCCTCCTAAGATACGCATCAGTACGATGTACGGCCATGAAGTGGGGACGTACGCGATGACGATGAAAATGTTGGCACGAGACTCCCTACGACTAGCGACGGCAGCCTTCCTACACCCCCCATCCCCACCCCCACCACCACCCCCACCACCGCCACCGCAGCAGCCGCAGCAGTAATGTGACGCTAGGGCGGCCAGAGCGCACAAAGACATAAAATGGATATCTACTCTTTGCGCGATGGGGGCCACTGACCACCTGGCCACATGGTGGTGTCGCACTCGCCGCCGCTCCCCCCACCCCACCCCATCCCATCCGACTTTATATGCCAACGCAAACACACACATACATACATACGTATACACACCCGACACACTGGAACTCCTTTTCCCTGGGGAGTTTCTCCCGCCAAGACTCCGTTGCGTTGCCCCGCCTTGCGAAGGTGGGTTGGTATTTCCTCACAAACACACACACACACACACACAGGGCCCGTCTGATGCAATCCACCATTTCGATTGGATTGCACCCACCATCGCCCCGGGTCCTCGTTCCGCTCACCCGAAAGGGATGCATTGCGCTCCTTTAGCAGTGTTGCAGGCAACCACTCGGCAGCACGGCAACTCCTCCTCCTCCTCCTCCTTCTCCTCCTGCCACCATTACTACGACTACTGCCATCACTACAGCCACTACTGCAGTTGCTTTGCAACAGTGAACAACGACATAGACAGCTGCGTCCTAATACCCAGAGTGCTTAGCAAAGCAGGAATCCATTAACCTTTATGAGTTGGGCAAAAACAAAAAGGCAGAAAGACAGAAGGCCAGAATACTGAAAAAGTGCCAAGAGAGCCGTACACAGCCGTACACACAACTGCACGCCATCACCTCTCTTTATTGATCGTACCCCTGCTGCGGTATTTCAATGCTTCGGTACGACAGTACCACAAAAAAAATAAAGGAATTGAAAAAAATATATGCCTGCAGGCTATGCCTCCCTGGGAGGCGTTACGATATGGCTCTGTGTGAGGGCCGTCAGGGCTGTTGTCTGCCGTGCAGCCGACTCGCCCCGGAAATAATGAGCCTGTGGAAATTTCCACGCGGGCTCCCTCACGACGGCTACCCCACCCGTGGGGCGGCATTCCTCAGGAGTACCACCCGGCCGGGTGCACTGCCCGGTCAACAGTGACCTCTTCCCCCCTCCCTCC